TAGGGAGAGGGAGTGAGAGGGAGTGAGAGGGAGTGAGAGGGAGTGAGAGGGAGTGAGAGGGAACGTTTATGATGCGGAGTGATTTAAACATGTACTAATAATGTAATAGTTATGTTCTCGTTTGTTGTGTGCATAGGCTAGTGCAGATTAGGACCTTTGTAACACCATTGTCACTGTATGCGACCAAGGCAAATATGTATCTCATCTTCTGTCACATCGTTTCTTCCACAGACTAATTACCCCCTATCTACCATACCACCCACGGCACCAATCAGTAGTTCCCGCCATGTATACTCTATTTGATGGAAAATCTACCTGGCCAGCGAGCTCGCTCCAGCCAGTCTACTACAGCGGGCCCGTGCCCACAACCCCCACCTACATGCTGGGCACCACCCCATCTCTCGGCGACCCCTCACCCCAACCTGTTCTCTACAGCCTCCAAACTCCCCTCTTCCCCTCGGCCATCGCTTCCTCCCCCACCGACTCTCGACACCGTTTGACCTCTGATGACGTGTTTCTTCCCGAAACTCCGGCTGTGATCCACGATTCGTCGGTGTTTAGCTATGCCTTACAGCATCAAAACTACCAAAACGCCTTCACCTCTGCTGCCAATCTGACAAACGCTTCAGGGCATCCTGTCAACTTTGAATCCAAACCGGAAAATTCGTCACTCGATGTTGAAGTTGACACTTCTTCCGACTGTTCCCGCTCCAGCAATTTCGGCCTGAACTCCCCGCCTCGTAAGTTCGAGCACACGGCCAACATGTCGTGTCAATCTTCAACCGTTTCCTCATCTCCCAGCTCCATCTGCCATGACGACTCTAGACTCTTAACGAATAGCCCTCCTCATTATAACATCCTGGATGCGAACGATTCTGTCTTTGCTCCACCCTTCCAGTCTTTGTCGTCATCACACCCCCAATACTGCAACAACTCGGACTCGAACTATTATTCCCAAATCCTGGACATAAAGTGTGGATTTAACCGAGGACGCATGATCACAAGCGCCAGTTCGGAAAGATGTCCACGCTTCAGTCAAAACGGCATCACAGAAGAGTTGGACGAATGCGACAAGAGTTTCTTCAGAGCCCCAGAAGTGGGGATAGACAATCAGGCCAAGAAAAGGGAGGAGTTCCTTTTAACCCTCGAGGCTGAACGGGAAAAGCAGAGGAAACTGGTGCTGCCGAAATACACGCCAAAGATGAACTGCAAGTTCTGTAAGAACAACGGCGAGAGTCCTGAGGTGTACACCAAACATCGGCTCCACTACAACGAGAAGACCATCTGTCCCCTGCTCAGACATTACGTTTGCCGACTTTGCAACAGTACCGGGGATTTTGCACACACTATCCGACACTGTCCCTTCAACAGCAAGAAAGACAAAATTGCATGGAAAGCAACCTTTCTGGTGTAGAATTCAACAGTCCATCGCAAAGAAACTGCAGCAAGTGTTTTGTTTTGATTTTTGTCTTTCCTTCGTACTATTTCTTATGTTTTTTGGGGGTTGTTGTTTTTTTTTTAATTTTTGGCGGGTTGTGGAGGGGTGGATGGTGGACTTATTTTGACCCCAGAGGGTCGTTACTTATTGTGATGTCTATGAACACAGTTTACTTCAATGCAATTTTTGTTATTTTCCAATTATATTGGTGGGGGGTCTGCCCTCTTTTGTGAGAGGAATCCAATTTTGATGCCAGTTTATCAGTGACATTATACTCGTACTAATCAATGAACACTTCCGCCACCCAAATAACCTTCATGACCAGACGGCCCCACAAAGTTTCGGTTCCTTATTGCAGCTTGTCTGGTCTTGAATGTTATCTGGGAAACAGCGGTTCAAAATGCTTTTACTCCGCGATGCTTAGTGACTGGTCACTCTTAAAGAGTTTGAAAATATAATTATATCAAATTTAGGAATTTAGTTGCACACGAAACGAAAAAAGAAAGGGGATGGTCGATAGAAGAGATGGCGAAGAGAAGTTGGGGAGGGGAAGGGGTTTATATAAATTAAATAATGCGTATTACTCGATGAACTAATATTGAATACGGCTCCAAGCAATAATCCATCGAAATGGTCTCCGAAGCTTAAAAACGAGCACAGGTTTCTGTCCCACATACGGTTCGGTTACTCTATTGGCTAGAAACCTGGTCTTGTCCTGAAATTGCCGGAGTGCTGCAACTTTAGTTTATATAGATCTGCCACCTGCCCCCCCCCCCCCCCCCTCATTTCCCTTGCCCATAAACTGGAGGCGTAAGTAAGACAGGCGGGTAGTTAGAAGGCCCCACAATAAAGGCATACCAATCATAGGTCAACGAGGGTTGGAACAGGGAAGTAAAGGGGGAGGGGTTCTCATTGCTAAACGATCTTATAAAACGTTAGGAACAATTTCAGCTACAAAACTAGTATCTAGATAGCATGACAAAAGCTTCTGGGAGAAAATCATTTTGATTTGAAACCTCTTCGATATCCTCCAGTTGTGTGAGGTCTAGATTTTACCTTTGTTAGTAGAATTTGGGGAGGGAACTGTTGCTTTTTAAAAAGAATGCGTTGACAGTTTCAGGGATATTTGTTTTATTTGTATTTTATACTTCCGAACCTAAGGGATCCATAATGATAGTGTTGTTCGGTTTAGAGCGACATACAGATTACGAGAAAATTAACGATCATATTATTGGTGATGTTGCCAGCAAACTTTCAGCACATTATACCACATTTTTATTGGTATCTTTTAAAATGGCTCAAGGCTCTATCGCACAGACGTCAAACTCAATGTCCCGGGGCCACATGTGGCCTGGCTAACAATTACATCCGACCTGCGAGACAATTTTAAGTTACCCATCCGGAGAATTTCAATAGACCCAACATCGAACCCTCTGCTCCAAACATAAACGAACTTTTTGCCAAGAGAAGATACCGAGCACCCATCTTCGACAAGTTGGCATAAAAACAAAAGTTGGTATGGCTGGGTCTATTTTCATTCTAAATTCTGTCTGTTTAAATTCATATTATTTAAAAATGATCTAGTTTTCTACTGCTCAGTGGCTGTCCAGTTCGATCTGCAATCTTGTGTAATTTGAGTTTGGCCCCTTGAGCAACTGATTTTGACGCCTGTGCTTTAAAGCAATTTATTGACTTCTCGTTAAACCTTGAAGCTACAGGACTTGAAGTCCCTGAGCTTCATCATCTTGAGAGTGTATGACCAGTTTATAATGTTGTCAGACCCATGGATGTACATGTACCGCGTTTGTGATAAGGTATGCTCTTTACTTTCAAAACGGAATGGAGTAAAATATGTTGCAAAGTAGTTTTCGACTTCGTGTTAACTGTTTCACCGTGGTTGGTTGGCGAGTGCTCTGGTGTGGTTTGCTTCTTCTTTCCTATCACACATCTATCGTCCTGATCTCTCATCCTTCTGTTTTATGTTTGTTACTCTCTTGTAACATCTCTAATCTTTGGCACTTATATGACCTTATTGTGTTGCAAGTGCCGTAAACTTCATACTGAACTAAACTATTTCTCCCCCCCCCCTCTCCCTTCACCTCCCCCCTTTTGAGAAAACCAAATTCTGTTGAGTTATTGGCGGGTCCTAGAGTGGTTTGCTTTTCTTCCTGTTAAAAAATATCATTCTTATCTCTCCATTTTTTAATTCTCTCTTGTAACAGCTTTAATTTTCGGCACTTTATGACCTTATTGTGTTGCAAGTGTCGTAAAACTCTTGCCAAAACTAAAATCACATTCCATTCTACATACTGCATACAGTGAGTTTTTTGTGCTTGGTCTGGATAATTATCCTTTCTATTTAAAGCGACTAGATTCGCATCTGGTTGTCAGGTTATGGCGGTTGTCTTGACAAAATCGTGAACCTTACCTCAACCCAACGACGGTTACTATAGCAAGGCATCACGCTGGCGGAAGGAATTTGGATGGCGGGTGCTCCGGTGTGGTTTGCTTCTTCTTTCCTATCAAACATCTAGCGTCCTTATCTCCCCTCTTTCTTTTTTATGTTTGTTACTCTATTGTAACACCTCTAATCTTCTGGCGCTCATATGACCTTGTGCAGTTGCGAGCGCTGTAAAACCTCTACTAAGAAAAAAGCTTTTTTAAAGTTTGAGAGAGAGAGGGTGGAGAGAGAGAGAGAGAGGGTGGAGAGAGAGAGAGAGAGAGAGAGAGAGGGGGGTGGAGAGAGAGAGAGGGTGGAGAGAGAGAGAGAGAGAGAGGGGGGGGGAGAGGGAGAGTTATAGAGCTTAGATTAAGACCTAAAGATGATGGGATACAGGTGGACAGAGGCGGAGTCTAGTCCAGGACAGAAGTATGTAGAGAGCTCTTGTGCTGGTGGCCTCTACTCCGGCACGGGGTGAGAAATGATCTGCTACTGATGGTTTTGCTTTTCCATTATAATGTCGATGGAGTTTTCTTTATTTAGTCGATTTTGCCGTAAAACACTCAATCAATCCCTTTTCTTTACTCCAACCTGCTCCAACTCCAAATACAGGCGAAGAATGTAAGGTAAAGACGTATACAAGAACGTCATTCTTCTGGTTAGACTGAGTGTTGATGTTGGGATTGGAGTATTTGTGTTAAGACGTAGTGGAATCAGGCGCTCGTCAATTTTCGGGCATGTGGAGTTATTGGTATTATCTTAAAGGTTATTCATCCCCCCCCCCCCTGCTTTCGAATTATCATTTATCTGAATTGAAAGTCGCGATTTTTGCGATTGGAGGTGGGGTCGCCTGGTTTCAGAATAAAAATTAGAGAGAAAATGGCGCCAAAGTTTGATGACTTCCATCGCTTAAGAGTCTTTGTAAACTGCAAATCAAATTGTTTTGTGCCCCTTATTAACGCTTTTCAATAAAAATCCTCACGTAAGTGTTTTTGAACGGATATACAAGATGCTGAGCCAAAATACAAAAATTGAAAAAAATGTCCAAACTGGCCGAAAATGCCGATTTCTCGAATTTCAATATTTTGATGAGCGCCCGATTTCACCAAGATGCCTCACGTTTAGATTTAATTTTTTTGTTGGGGGAGGAGGGGGGGGGGGGGACGATGACTGTAAAACTTCCCGTGTCCCTCCAGCATATCGCGAGTCAACTGAATGTAGTACATCATGTACACAATTTTTCCGCGACCTTTGTGACTGACCCAACCCAAGTGCAGGCAGGTGGTCAGAGAGCGACAATTGTGGGTACTATTTCTTACTTGTGGGTCCTATTTCTCACCAAACGTCTGACAATACCGGCGTGTCTGGTGTAGTGGTCCGGTGCTTCACCGTCGCACGCAAAAGGCCCAAGTTCAGTTCCCGAGAGGGGAGAACATTTTTAACGAGTATTTCGGCCTTTCTGCTGGGAGGTTGTATCCCTTTCTGACCTGATGGCCCTGACTGGCGCGCCTCCTCCATGATATTAACTTTGTAGTTGGGACGGAAAGACACGTGCAATATAAAAAGTTTTCAATTTCGGGCGCTCATTTGGTCGCTTTTAAGCACAAGGGGGCTGTCCCGAAAAATGTTGTTTGTAGAAAATCGAAGATAACGTTTTTGCCCCTTTTTCAGTTTCTTTAAAAGACAAAGAGAGTTTTCTCTATAACCAAACAAATATACACACCAATGAAACCAGACTTCTCCTATAGGTAGCACAATGCCCACTTTTGGTGCAGGTCAAGAAATCTAGAAACCCCCGAAATGTGGGTTAGCCCGTTTGTCCTTAAAAGCGACCATATTAACTTAGCAGTTGGGACGTAAAGACACGTACATTTTTTTTTAAGTTTGGCAATTTCGGGCGCACATTTAGATCGGCAAGTCTCAACCTGAACTGCGGTGCATTAGGTCCCTGTCGACTGCGGTTTGAATCCATAATAATTCATCGGAGCAAGACTTTTAAAAAAACAACCCACCCTACAATATTTCGTCGTTTGTTAGGCCAAGAGCTGTGGAGTCGAAACCCGTGACTACAAAACTTGGGAAATGTGACTGGGGGCTCTCGAGGCCCTAGTGGTTAAGGTGCTGGCCTCTCATTCAAAGGTGCCAGGTTCGAATCCGGGTAGCGACAGAAAAGTTTTCTTCTCTAAAATTGTTTCCTGTCACCTCCTTTCCTGCTCTCTTACTATGTTCTGTCGTCTGCTTTCTTCTCCTTTTTTCTGCGCCCATCTCCTCACCTCCTTTGCCCCCTCCCTTGGGCTCCTGGCTCTTTCTGCAGCCTTTCTACTGCTACTCCTTGGCTCCTCCTTACTGCTGTCTGTCAGCCACACCCCTAATCTTCTGCTAGGAACGATCTACACCTAGCCTTCTCGGACAAGGGTGAAAAATTTCGGAGGGCATGTGCGCAAGTTGAACACGTTAAAGATCCCTTGGTGGTCTAAAATCGATCAGAGTAGGCTTTAGCCGCCACCCGGACAAAATTCAAAAGTTCCTACCAACTGAAAAAGTTTGGTGTGTCCTGCCAGTGAGCTCATGTGACCTTATACCGTTGCGAGTACCGTAAAACACTTACCCCCCCCCCCCCCCCCCAAAAAAAAAGAGACTGTGACTGGCGCTCATATAACCTTATGCAGTTGCGAGCGCCGTAAAACCTCTACTAAAACTTGGAGACTGTGACTGGCCTTTGTTTCCGCTCTTGGAGACACGCTTGGCAGACAAGTGGAGGAGGACAAAGGCGACTGCGGTGGCCGGTCCGGTTGGCAAATAGTGCACGTTACTTTCTCTAGCTTCTGTGTCCGACTGTTTGGTTTTGACTGAAGTGGCGAACCTTATGTCTTGCACGCACGCACGCACGCACGCACGCACGCACGCACGCACGATCACACACACATGCCCGCACATACACATACGCACGCACGCACGCACGCACGCACGCACGCACACACACACTCGCACGCACACACTTGCACGCACACACTTCCACCTTGAAACAGTTGTGATACTCGGCACAGAATCTATTATTGAACCAAGGCCATTTCGGTATTGCTTAAGCACAGTTCATGCTTCCTCGGAAAAAGACGTGATAGTTTTAGTAAGAGTTACGCAGCTCTTGCAGCACGAATGGGTCGTTTGTCAGTGCCGAAAATTAGAGGCATTACTGGAGTAACATACACAAGAGAGAGAGAGAGAGAGAGAGAGAGAGAGAGAGAGAGAGAGAGAGAGAGACAGAGAGAGAGAGAGAGACAGACAGACAGACAGACAGACAGACAGACAGACAGACAGATAGACAGAGACAGAGAGAGAGACAGAGAGAGAGACAGAGAGAGAGACAGAGAGAGAGACAGAGAGAGAGACAGAGTGAGAGCTGAGAGAGAGAGAGAGAGAGAGACAGAGAGAGAGAGAGAGAGAGAGAGAGAGACAGAGAGAGAGAGAGAGAGAGAGAGAGAGATAATGATGATAGATTTTCATAGGTAAGAAGGAGCAAACCAGATCAGAACTACTGCCCTCCTTGGCTCTTTCTTACAGCTAGCTGTCTTTCAACGACAGCCCGGATCTTTTGGTAGGTAAGATCTAACACCTTGCATTCTCGGATATGGGCGAAAAATATCGGAGGTTCCCTTCTGCAAGTTGCGAACGATAAAGATCCTTTGATGCTCCTATTAATCGATATGTGTAGGCTTTGGCCGCCACCCGAGCAAAATTCAAAACTCCTACCAAACTGAAATATTTAAATGTGTCCCACGAGCTCATATTATGACCTTATGCAGTTGCGAGTGCCGAAAGTCACTTACCCCCCCCCCCCCCCCTTTTCCCCCTCAAAAAAAAAAAAAAAAAAAAAAAAAAAAGAAAGAAAAAAAGAGGTACCGCCAACCACCGACAGGGATATCATTTTACTGACGAGCTTTAAACAGACCTAAATCTATGTCGAAAATAAGTTCTAGGAGGGCCGTGTTAAAAGCAACCCATCGGTATTGATTGAAGACAAAAGACAAATGAGTCATTGGTGAAAAGCTTATGTGATACCACATGTTTTTTGTTTTTTTAGGTTTTAAATAATTATTTTCACAACATGTACCCCTCAACCAACATCTCAACCGAATTGGAGTAAAGCAGTCTGCTGCCTGCCCACTATGTGACTACCCCTCAGAGACAGTGGAACATCATCATCTGTTCTTCTGTAGAAAACTGATTGAAGGTGATGTATTCTTCCCAAGCTACCTCACACATCTAATTGCCTCTACTCCTCAAGACAACAATTAGAACAAACATGCAACTATTACCGAATGGCATCATGCAGAAGAGTTAACGCTCAGATGGTACTGGATCGCTAACAACAACAACAACAACTAATTATTTTAAATTGACCAGATATCAAGACGTTTTCGAATTATTTTATACCTCTAAAATGTTCCAACATGTGAAGCTTCCAAGGCGCACTCTACTTAAACAAAGTAATATGATAACTTTTGAAGTTGGATTAATAATACATTTTTGCAACAAAGACCATTCTTATTCACGCATACTTGTACTAACCCGACCTAGACAGACAGACAGACAGACAGACAGACAGACAGACAGACAGACAGACGGTACTCACCAAAGGCATGCAGATGTATTGGCAGAACATTCCTATAATGGGAGCCACCGGTTTTTTCATGACAGTCTTCACAATGTCTATCTCCACATTCATCCCCATCCCAATTGTCGCGGTTACGATGACAATGTACAGCAAAGTACGAAATATCTTGTCAATGGCTCTGGGCAACTGCATGACAATGATTACACCCTTGCCCACCACGTTGGGTGGAAGAGAAGGGCTGGCTACGTTCCCAGTGTTCTGAGCTTCCATCTTTTTGGGTGACCTTGTCGAATTCTGGAATATCGGCCCATCTTTTCTGAAGGCGAAAAACATAACGAACGTCCGTCCAATGTTGTTGGTTTTGAGCTTGAAGATCGCAGTACCGGTTATAGTTGCTACAGAAGTTGATGTGTTGTAGGACACTTGTTCCGGAAAATTTACCGGCTCATTGTTTTCTGTTTCGGATGCTTCCAAAGTAGAGTTTATCATTTTTTCCGCAACGTCTGGAGAATTCTCGAAATATGCCCTCGATAGTTCGCAAGAAACGTTGAACATCGTGTTACCAAGAAACTCTGCAATGCTGGGTTTCGCTGACTTGGCTTGCACAATGTACACATCCTCGGGAGACGAGCAAAACACTGAATACGTTGCTTTAAACTCTACGTTCACTTCTAGTGTGAACAGCAAGACGTGTGGACGTCCCATGTTGGAGACAACGCTCAGAACCAAGGGTGGACCTTCTCCTGGTTCCGAGGAGCTGTTAGAATTCAGACTACTGAATCCTAAGTTGGTTGAACTTGCATCTTGAGCGGAGTTTGCAAGGCCAAATACACAGAACAAAAGCCAGCAAGTGTGAAACAACACTTTCTGAAGAGAAAGCATGATGCCAGAGCAATGGTAAGTTCTGAAAAGAATAGAAACAATTTTTTACTCCTCAACCGCAAGCACCCCTGTCGCAGAATCAGGCTCTTTTGGAACTAAAAAAGCAAAACAGAAAAAAATCTTCTACAAGTAGAATTTCAAGAACGCCTGATTTATTCTGTACTCTTGCAAATGAAACCTTAAGATTCAATATAACACAGATGTAAACAGAGTTTGAAACAGTTTATCAAGTTCTCTCACTTTTTTCCCTTTTTTTTAGAGAGAGAGAGAGGGGGGAAAACGAATTGCAGTTCCTATCAGCTACCAGAGTCGGAGTACTGGTCGGAATCCCCGAGTTTTACTTTTAAATAGACAAACCAAACACAGTTGCAAAAGCGGTCGGCACCCATGACCTTCTCCCGTGTAGCGAGAGAGGCGCAAACAATATCAAGTGTCTGCTCGGAACTGGGAGCCATTTCATGCCGGGCGACAACCGTGCCACTTCGGGTGGTCAACCCACAGTCAGCATCAGCTCTCTCTTTCTCCCTCTCTCTCCCCCCCCCCTCTCTCTCTCTCTCTCTCTCTCTCTCTCTCTCTCTCTCTCTCTCTCTCTCTCTCTCCCAATATCCCCCCCTCTCTCTCCGTCATGTCAGATGTGGGCTGTCACTTAAGTCCCATTTTCTTAACATCCCCTGAGAAAGGAAGTCAGCCAGAACACCCAACAAGATGTAACCGACTTCGTCTGAATACAGTGTGCTGTGTGGCGATTTGTCATGCAAACCTAACTTTGAATATTTTTGTTTCTTTTGATAGGCTCCCGTATTTGAAATGAACTTACCATAATTATTAAAAAAACTGTTATATGGTTGCTTTTAAGGACAAGCGGGCTAACCCAGATTTCGGGGGTTTCCAAAAATCTTGACCTACACCAAAGTGGGCATTGCCCTACTTATAGGAGAAGTTTGGGTATAGAGCAAAATCTCCTTATCTTTTAAAGAGACTGGATAAGGATTCAAAAATTTTAAGTTCAATTTTCTTAAAACAGTATTAATCAGGATAGCCCCTTGTGCTTAAAAGCCACCAATATCAGTAATAATATACTAAGGCCTATTAAAATTTTGCTGAATGAGGGAAAACGTCAAGTTTTATTTGGATTGGGGGTGTTAAAAAGAAAGAGAATTTAATGTGAAACATTGGCTTTTGGCAAGCAACAGGTTCACTGTTCACGACTGATAAAAGATTAAACTGTAAGGACTTCTCTGTCGACATCCACCGCTTGGCGCTCATAATATGACCTTATGCAGTTGCAAGCGCATTAAAACCTCTACTAAAACAAACACAAGATTAAAATAAAATATGTTTTGTTTGTTTGCTTTTTAATGAGCTATTATTTTGTTGGTATTATTCTAGACAAATAGGGCTAAGAAAGTGGCGTTGGATGGGACACACCTTCAGAAAGCCCAGCTGAAATATCACAAGACAGTCACTGCAATGGAACCCACGGGGAGCACTAGGCAAAGGTAGGCCACGAGAAACATGGAGGAGATGTGTAGGAAGGGACATGAGAGAGATGAAGCTCACTTGGAACGAACTAGGAAGGATGGCCCCGGACAGAGATAAATGAAAGGACCTTGTATGTGGCCTATACCCTGCCAGGGGTGAAAGGCGCTGATGATGATGATGATTGTTTTAGACGGCTGTGGGGACGACTGCACTGTAAATAACAACGGGGTACACATGGTCCCTTTTAAGGACAAGCAGACAAACCCATATTTCGAAGGTTTCCAGAAATCTTGATTTACACCAAAAGTGGGCATTGCCCTACCTATAGGAGAAGTTTGGTTTCATTTGTGTGTATATTTGTTTGGTTACAGAGAAAACACTCCATGTCTTTTAAAGAAACTGAAAAATGGTCCAAAAACTTTACCTTCGATTATGTCAAAACAGCATTTTTCGGAATTGCCCCCTTGTGCTTAAAAGCGACCATATTTATGTAGGTCTACTTGATCTGGTATTGTCTTTGGAGTGTCAGTGACTACTCTGCTGGGTCCTTGCGAAGGTCGAGATTCATTGATAATTGTATTGTGTGAAAGGGGTCTAAAAGCTATATTATCTTGATAAACAATGATAACCGGTCTTCAAAACAAAACAAGAAATAGAAGATCTATACGAAATAAAGGCATGAAGAGAGAGAGAGGGGGACACACACACACACAGAGAGAGAGAGAGAGAGAGAGAGAGAGAGAGAGAGAGAGAGAGAGAGAGAGAGAGAGAGAGAGAGAGAGAGACAGAGAGAGAGAAAGAAAGAGAGAGAGAGAGAGAGAGAGAGAGAGAGAGAGAGACAGACAGACAGACAGACAGACAGACAGACAGACAGACAGACAGACAGACAGACAGACAGACAGACAGACAGAGAGAAGGGTTGGGGGGGGGAGACAGAGAATACGTCATGTTACACTTCTCAGTGGCAGAAAAGGAAGCAGAGGATCATAGCGTCCCCGAAACTAGAAATGCACGGAGAAATTGACCCTGTAAGTAAACGACACTATTCCGTTTTTTGTGACTGTCAGACCCGGCCTTAAGACTCAAGCCCTTGATGCAGTGTCCAGCCATGCGTGTCTCACTTAGGACATCGGTCACGCTTGGTACCTTCTCCTCCTCTTGAACGCGATGCTGTAAGATTATGTATGTCCATATATACGGGTACACAGCAGTCTCCAAAATACCCTAGAACTACACAGGGGGTACTGGAAGTGGCACACGCGACCTACTTAATGTCAGAGATGACAAGAACTGTATCAACATGCGTTAATTATAGGACAAGGGGACCATCTTAGAGTTTTTAGAAAGGAAAACAAACCCCCGAACAATTTGGGTTTTCGGTTTTGATATAATGTTGCTTTTTTGTGGTCAAGTTTCAAGGAACCAGGTCTTATCCGCCTCCGAAAAGATCTAAACCGAACAGATGAGGGCGAGAAACGTCAATTAAACATAATGAACTTGTAGTGTAGTGGGATTCTTGCTTTGGGGACTTTCGTGGCCCCGTTGCTAGAAATTACACAACATTACAAAGCAGCGTTTAACCCTATCCGTACGTCGTGTTTTACTATCCATACGATTTGGGGAACTCTGTGCCACCACTTTCAAAGAGAAAATTTACTCGTTGGCTACGCTTTGCATAGCAGTCTGTCAAAATGATTTTTTGAGAAATACTGAAAGTTTCAAAGCGATTTTCGTACTTGAAGTATTCTAAAATGTGAACAATACAACCCCAGGGGGTACAAAAAGACCCTAAGACGTACGGATAGGGTTAACCATGTCATTGTATAAATGAGTACATATCGAGAGTGTTCTGAAGCACCCTAACTCTCAGGTACGGTTCCCGAGTCTGTTATACATTATTGTACAACGGTCAGGCTCTTCATCGATGCAAGCAAACGGTGTGAGTTCAGTTTCTAAGCAGTGGAGTTTCTTTTATTACATTTCTGACATGGGACAGCCTAGCTCGTGGGGGGGGGAGCTGTATTCTACTCAGACAATGGAATCGTTAACCCTATCTGTACGACCTGGAGTCATTTTGTACCCCCGGGGTTGTATTTTTCACATTTTAGAATACTTATAGTAAGAAGATCTCTTTGAAACTTTCAGTATTTCTCAAAAAATCATTTTGACAGATTGCTATGCAAAGCGTACGGATCGGATTAACGAGTAAATTTCCTCTTTGGAAAGTGGTGGCACTAAGTTCCCCACGTCGTATGGATACGATAGTAAAACACGACGTACTGATAGGGTTAAGCATTTCGTCACGTGCACAAGATAATTGCCTTAACCAATTTTGGCCGGCTGGGAGTTTTTGGTTCTGAAATGAAGAGCAGGGCCAGCTTGATAATAATCCACTTGGACGAAAGAATAATCCAAAGTATAAACTCAATTGAGCTTTAAAAAATTCAAATGTTTCAATTGTTTAAAAAAACAACAGTTTTTTCCCCTCATGTTCTCAATATGCCTAAAAATGAATTGGGCATTTATCTTTTGAGTGTAAAGATTTACAATTTTAAAAAACCCAAAAATTTCCTTCATCCAGTCGTTAAGTGACCACTCCCTATGATAATGCCTCCAGTGGCGGTGGGTGGACCAAAATTTGGGTGTGGCTTAGGTTGCTTCCATTTATTTACTACCAAAAGCAAGCAGTAAGAACTAAACAGTGATGATCTTTCTATATTCACGGCGGGCCACGGCATTTTGAGAACCATTCAAACGAGAAGAGTCACCTTTGTCTTTCATCTCTTAGTTCTACGTTAAATTCTTCTGGATGCTGGGGGCGAAGCGCTTTTCCCTTTCGTCAACCCGCAGCCACTTAACGAATCGTCAGCCACATAGGCCTACCAACCTTTGACACGGGTCAAACTTCCATCTATTTATAGGTAGTTACCGGAACATGTATAGGTGAAGTGATGTGCCGTGATAGTCGCGATATATTATTTATTGAGATTGTTTTGGTCTCTCTTTACTCATCACCATGAGAATTTTTTGAAGTCTTTCCCTGGACTCTGCCTTTACTAAAATCTCGAATCTAGATCTAGATCTAGAGTTGTAATCTAGATCTAGTGGCAGGTTGCAGATTTCTGTTATCCAGTACATGTACATTCAAGAGATTAAATAAATTGGACTAGACTCTAGACTCTAGTAGTAGACTCTTCTACTTCTACTTCTAAACCTTCGAGATTACAAAAGGCCAAGCCTAGGCTTGTAAGGATTCGTTTTGTTAAAAGTGTTGTTTAACACAAAGTCTAAGAAGTTAGCAAACCTAACACATTTTTTCTAAAGAAATGAAGCTTAAATTGACTTTTATATTGTCAATAAGAGATCAAGTTTAATCACCTAATCATTTAAGTAAGGAAGTGGACTGGTTATCCTCACCCTGGGTGAGAAAAACCCTACGATTGACCTCTCACCCCGGGTGAGACTTGCTAGCGTTGGCTATTCTCACCCAGTGTGAAACAAGACCTGTTTTTCCTAATTTCGAAATACTTTCTATCGGTGTGGATGATCAAATTGACAAAAGCAAAGAAAAAAATGACGTTATAGCACAAAAGTAAGCTAATTTGATCGTCTACAAAGATGCTATGGCTCTTTCACTTTTCGAATCGAGCCGAACTACGCGGGTCGCCATTTTGTTTTGCCCGGAAGTTCTCGCAACTTACTCGCAAGATCTACTCCTCCCCCTTCTCTCCCTCTCTCTCTCTGTCGGCAATTTATTAAATCTGCAACCTGCAACTAGATTACAACTAGATCTAGATTCGAGACTTTAGTAAAGGCAGAGTCCAGGGAAAAACATCAATTAAATTCGAGTGGTGCAGATGAGTAAAGAGAGACC